AGAACAATTTTGAGAAAACTTAAGTTTTGTTTTAGCAAATTTTGGTACAAGTGATCGTTGGGAAGAGTTAATGAATCAGGTCTCTGTTTAGAATAATTAATAGTTCAAGAGTGATAATGTGATGATCAGATTTAATTTGGTTGTTTAGAATTATGTCTATATATTCAATATTAGTAATTGAGAGATTTGTTCAATTTTAGTCAATTCTACTCTGGATATTAGAGCATTAAAAAAGTAAAGTTTAGTGTATTGGAGAAAAAAAAAAAAATAATAAATATCCGTAAATTGTTAACTTTGTAAGTATTTAATAAGTTGAAGTTTAGATATAGAAGATAGTTTTTATATAAAATTACGTAATTTGTACTGTCTTTATATATTGTCTATAGACTTTCTGCAGAAGCAAAAATAATATTGATTTGTATCAATAATATATAAAACAATATTTTTGGATTAAATTATAGATAAATTAATATTTTTGCAATTTGTAATACCATATAATATTATAAATTTTGGGCAAAATTTAGATATAATTTGGGCTGGCAATATAAATTTAAATAATCTAAATTGTTAGAAAGTTTCAGAAAAGCAAATAGCCAAAAACAAATAATAAAGATAATTATATAATTGTATAATTGTTTAGAGCAAAGTGGAGAACTTATATGTTCAGGTTATTGGTCAATTTTTGTTTAACTGTTCATCTATGTGATTATATATGATCTGCAGATCTGTGCATACTAGAAGGTTAAGCAAAATTTTGTCTGTCTGTCTGCCTACATGACCAATTATATAAGTGATAATTTTTTTTAATTTGCTTTAGATTTACAATAATATCTGTTTTTCTAGTATATATTTATAAAATTAACTTTAGAGTCAGGATCATCTTAGATTAGAGTTAGGTTAGGTTTTAAATATTGTCAAGGTAGATTTAGACCACCATTTTTTATATTTTTAAGTTTTTTTGGCTTTCTTGTATTGCTTCATTGGCAATCATCAAAATTCTATAATTTGATTGGTTAATAGTCATATAATTTATCTCTGCTTTAGAAGACTCTCAAAAACAAAAGTTTTTAGTTATTGATCACATTATATATACTGCATTCTAATTAATAGTTTGGTGTAAATTAATATAAATCAATATTTTTAACCAAATTGATTTATACGTATTATTCCCTGTCACTGACTCTTCAATACCAGGTAGCTATTTATTATATAATCATAAACTAGGCACAGATGCAAAATTTAGGTTTTTGATACTCCTGCACTTACTTTTTTGATACTAATCAACATGCAGATCCCAGTAAAAATAAAAAATTTAGATACTTTAAGTGAAGATATCTTGACACCTACCTGCTTAAATCTGATAAAACCTTTTCGATTTGAATTCTATGGATTTATAGAATTCAAATAAAAAAAATTCATCAAATTTAGTCATGTGGCTATCAAGATAGCTTCACTCAAAATTAAAAAAAAAAAATCAAAATGTCTTCAAAATAGAGGCTATGTCAAATTTTTCTTTAACTTTAAGCAAAGATATCTTGATAGCTATTTGACCAAATTTGATAAAACCTTTTTTATTTGAATCTTATGGGTCAAAATTCAAATAAAAAAATTTCTATCAAATTTAGTCAAATGGCTATCGAGGTATTTTTGTTTAAAATTAGAGAAAAATAAAACGCCTATCAAAATAAAAATTTTCTCTAACTTTGAGTGAAAATATCTCGATAACGGTCTGTCCAAATTCAACAAAAATTTTTTTTAATTCTATTTATTCATAAAATTTAAATAAAAAAAAAAAAAAATTCATTGCATTTAGTTAAGTGGGTATCGCTCAAAGTTAGAAAGAAAATTTAGCGTAGATACACATTTTGAGTTTTTATTTGAGCGAAGATATCTCAACAACTACTTGATTGAATGTGGTAAAAAATTTTTATTTGAATTCTATGAATCTATAGAATTCAAATAAAAAAAAGTTTATCGAATTTTGTTAGATATTATTGAGATATCTTCGCTCGAAGTTAGAAAATTTAGTATAACTTCTATTTTGATAGACATTTTGATTTTTCTCTAAGATATCTTGATAATCACTTGACTAAATTTGATAAAAATTTTTATTTGAATTCTATGAATCCATAAGATTCAAATAAAAAAAGTTTTATCAAATTTGGTCAGATGGTTATTGAGATATCTTCGCTCAAAGTTAGAGAGAAATTTGGCGCAGCTTCTATTTTGAAGGCGTTTTGATTTTTCTCTAATTTTGAGCGAAGCTATCTTGACAACCACATGGTTAAATTCGATGATTTTTTTTTTATTTGGATTCTATGAATTCATAGAATTCAAATTAAAAAGAGATTATCATATTCAAGCCGGTAGGTGTCGAGATATCTTCGCTCAAAATTTTTAAATTTTTTATTTTTACCGGGATCTGCATGTCGATCAGTATCAAAAAAGTAAGTGCAGGAGTATCAAAAACGTAAGTTTTGCGGCACAGATTCTATTTTTGCTTCCAAAACATAATCGATTCCGAATTGACAGGAATCAATAAAATCAATAAATGGTGCATAATATTATTTAAGGTTATAAAAAAAATTCCCGACTTGAAGACTAAACATATTTTATGCACTGATTTTCTGATTTTGTGAAACGCACTCAAATTTAATTGTAGAAAATTGTCAAGCTCTAAAGCGAATGGCTTGGCATATCGATTAGGATTTTTATATTAAGAGTGACTTTCGCGAAATTTTTCTTATACATATTCGAATATACTATATTTATGAATGTATTCGAATATATAAAAATTCATATTTTTAGATTGCAAATCTCCGATCAATACCATTTGGGCATGCGCAATCATATTAGTTTTGTTTGATACTTGTAATCTACTGTATTTTCTTTTTGACTTAAGTAGAAAGATTTTTATAAAAATTTTTATATTAGTTGTCTTGAGCAATGCCGCGTTACATACTATTTATGTTCACAGGTTGAATATCGGGTACATACCAGGAGACAAGTTTCCTGATATGTACCCAATAGCTTGCCATGGATTTGCAATATTTTGCTGTTATGTTACTGACATCGATCTGCCTTCATGCTACCAATATACTGCAGGTATTTGGCGGATCTATGGCAGACTATCGGGCACATATTAGGAAACTTGTCTCCCGATACGTTCATAATATTTACGAATATGTATTCATAATATTTATGAAATTTATGAAATATTCAAAAATATACATATAAATTAATTATGAATATTTGAATTTATGAATACAAGCGCTAGATAAGAGGATCTTTATTATATGAAATGTTCATAGAGCATGTAAGCAGGGCGTCCACTATATGCTGTAATTAATTTTGTACATAAATATACTTGTTATTAATAAGTTTCTTCGATGCACTATTAAATTACCGTATATTTTTACATATTGTTACGTATTGATAAAAGAAATAAAGTACAGTAATTCGCACTCGTAATACATTATTAAATTTAAAAGGCGCGATTTTTTTATTTTTTATTTTTTCCTTTGGCTTTCAATTTTATATTCAAATTTTATTTTGTAATTTTGAACGAATCTTAAAATTTTCATACAACAATAAAAAAAAACAAATAAAAAAAAATGAAGACCTCTAATAGAAGATTTTCGATTATTTTAGTCATTTCCCTGGCAGCTATATTTGCTTTAGTACATACAAGCGAAGCAACTTGTGCAAACAAGGCTGTCTATGATGAATGTAATACTATAGGACAAAACCAACTAACAGCTTGCTATGCTAAACCTAATGATTTCGCCTGTCAATGTACCGCGATGAAAGGTATTTTTCAAAAAAAAAAAAAGATTTAGAAAGTGAAAAAGACAAATTACTAATTAAAAATATATCTTCAAGCCATTCGCGATTGCTATCGTCAATGTCCTGATGATACAGACATCACTAGCCAAGGAAATTCCTATCAGGTAAATTAACGTATCGTCTTCGCTGATAACGAATACATGAAAAAAAATGCTAACGTCGAATATCTTTTAAATGATTTCAGACAGCTGTAGATCAAGTGTGTGGTTATGCAAAGTACTTTAAAGCGAATTTTTAATTTTTTATGTTTATTCCTGCTTTCTTTTTTACCAAATTTATAATTTTTTCTTTATTTGTTACACGTAGTCCACAGACAGCTCCCGCTCCGGCCCAACCAACTATAGCACCAGCTGGTCCAGTGAATCCAACAACTCCAGTGAATCCAACAACTCCAACGAATCCCTCCGCTCCAAATGGACCATCACCTAACCAGCCTACACAATCTGGTTCACAATCTAGTACACAATCTGGTACAAAATCTTCTGCTAATTCCAATAATGATGGGCGACAAATTTTCTTTAAAGCCTACAAAAAACAATTCATCGATATTAACGAAACCAAAGTCCGCAACTATCTTAAATACCAAATTGCAACAACACTTGCCGATGAATATAAAAAACACCTACCCTCCAAATATGAAATTACCAATCCTTCTTCCCTCCAAGACCGATCTTTCCAGACTACTAAAGCAGCTCTCTTCCATATTCATACTTGCAAGGACAAAAATTGCACTCTCTTACCTAAAGATACTGAACACAACCTATCTAATCTATCTACCTTCTTTTTCGATAAATCTTTCAAAACCTTTCCAGCACCTCCTAAAGTAGAAGGCCCAATAATTACTCCAATTGACTTAGATTTCTCCATCTTTCATCCTGATAAACAATACCCAGCAACCTTTAAAAAAGCCTTCCCGATGCAAACACTAAATATACTCACTACTAAAGCAGACCAAAAGTTTGCAGAAAGTAACAAACTTGAAACAAATCCTAAAAGAACTGCATACTATCTCTACTCATACTTCAAAGCTTACCTTAAGGCAGCATCATTAAATGATAATATCTCAAATCTCAAACTCGAGGAAGCCCTAGAAAAAACCATTTCTCCATTCACCAACCCTTATACACTCGCACATATTCCAAATTCTCTATTCCTCAAATCCTACAAGATTCTGAATACAAGCATTATATTGAAGCTGAAAAATTCATTATCAAACATTACAAAATCAATATTCCTTCCTCTTTAGATAACTCTCTCTTCCTCTCTACAGACTCTACAAACTCCTCAACTTATAGTTCACTTTTTCAATAACTCTTTCTATAGACAACATTAATACAGCTACCACTTCCAAAACAATGATGTCCTCCACTGATAGTGGGCCATTTTTGGAAGAGAATGATGTAGGTAGGCAGGTAGGAAAGCCTACTTATGCGGAGGACCAGGTTTATGATAGCCAGATCCAACAAACAGAACAGGCTATAGTATCCTGCGCAGCTGTGATAGCCGAGCATACGGCGAGCAATTCTATAGAAGGACCCCAAAATGTCTCAGTTTCCATTTCATCAAACCCTACTGAGACTCCTACCAAAAATATTTTT